ATTATATCATTCATGAGTCGGAGAGAGAATGAAAAGAAAAAAGTCCAATTTTAACATGTATATCATGGTATTACCATAAATCAAAAGTGCATTTCCTTCTTTTGTTACAGATTCTGCTTTCAAACAAAAGACATGTGGGATCTGCTTATGGCACTGATATAAAGAGCAGAATTTGAAGGATGGCCTTATCTCAGTCGCTTATCAAGTAAATTGAATTTACACTGTTACTAAAGATGTAAAACTGTGAGCTGGGAAATTGGTAGCATGTGTAATTTTGGTGGTCTCTAGTGAATGACCAAACCTTGAACTTTCTGGGAAGCAGAAGAAAATCCCTTCTGCGGTAGCAGGCACACAGCTGGGCCACGAGGAGCTTCGGAATTAAAATGTTTTATTTATTTTGATATCAGAAGCACTGCGTGTGCACCATTCCACATCACTGAAGTTCTTCCATTCACATTTCTTTTATATTAATATTACCCAGTTCGCACTTTCTCCGTATTATACAGTGTGCATTTGGAGTTTGACTAGTTCCTCATCACTGCTGCCGAGAGCTGCATGGGGATCTCCTCCCTTGGCCAGGGTAGGGGGAGTTCTCAGAGAAGGATAGAGCCCAGTGAGATGGTTAAGTCCACAGGTTACTAACAAAAAGTTTTGCACTTGCAACTTTGCAAAGTCTGAAGTCTTGAAACAACATCAAGATTCTGCCAGAAAGACCACATCTATAATTTATTTTCATTTTCAATTTTATGGATATTTGTTACCTACATTTCTGTTTCCAGCCTCAGCACTGTGCTATCTATCACAAAACTCATTTTTACAAGTCCAGCACTTCAAAGCACCCATTTTTTCTCTAACACAAAAAGTCTTGCTCAGGTGACATTTGCTAAAACACAGGACAAGTGACTGTGTTGTACTTTAATCTGGAACAAAGAGGACTTTGGAAAAGACCCATTCATAAAGCAATTGTCAACAGACAGGAGGACTCTGTCATGTTCCCCTGCTTAAAAACCTAATCATAGGTTTAGGCTTGTGCAAACTGCCAAATTCATAGCTCAATGAGCAAAGAACTTCTATTATGTATTTTGCTGTCAGCATTAACATTTCAGGAAAATGGAATGCAAAAGATACTAAATTAAGATAAATTACATGTTTTTTACTTCCTATTTTAAATTCTTATTCAGAAACAGAATTCAGGATTCTTTACATGGAATGCATTTAAAAGTTTCTTCAGTCCAGCTGAAGCAGGATTTAGGAAATGCAAACTGAGCATCCTGCACTTAAGTGCTGCTTTGAATTTGGTATGTACAGAAATGAACAAATTCTTTTGTGATACTTAATACTGAAAGGAGAATGATTTTACTTAACCCGTTTCATCCTCTTGAAAATTGTATGGGATTTTATCAGGCCTTTCCAAGTAACAAGCAGGTAAGAACCAGAAGGGAGCAACAATACACTTGAGTTCTTCTCTTTCATTCCATATTCAGTTTATTCCTGTGTCTGTTATATTCCTGAATTCATTTATGAAGTAAAAACAGTTATGCTAAAATAAGCTAGATACATACCAAGAGTAATTTTCTTTCTCCGTTTAATGCAACCTTCTGGAGAAAGCCCAAGTAAATGGGTAAACCCTATCACATGCACTGGGGAGGGTGGAAATCCAACAGCATTTCAGTGACCTGAACAGACTCTCTGGGGAATATCGATTCTGCCTGTATCTTCAAAAAAAAAAAAAAAAAAAAAAAA